CCCTGCATTTTAGCAGCCATAATGCTAAAAGTCAACAATGTATACTGGAATTGACAAAGGAGAAATACAATCTTGTATTAGTTTTGAAATGACAACTGAATATTACACTCATAATGTTTATGGTGCAAAACAATTCATAAAGCAGACATATCAATGGTGATGTGGCTGCTAAGGAACACTGATGCTTCCCAAAACCAGGCAATGACAAATGTACACAGATTCTATTACTGAAACCATTAGAACCATAATATACTCTTAATAAATAATAATATTTCACATAGAAAAAACCGATATTCAAATATTGATACACAGGGATGGAGAAATGGCTCAGCAGTTAGGAGCATGGGCTGCTCTTCCAGAGGACCCAGAATTGATTCTCAGCACCTACATGGTGAATCACATCCAATAGTAACTCTAGTAACTCTACTTCCACAGTATCTGATGTCATCTTTTGAATACCACTGACACTGTTTGCATGTGATGGTGAGTCATAAAAGTAGATGAAACACCCATACATATAAAATAAAAATAAACAAATATTTAATAAATCTAAAATAAAAATATTTATATCCAAGTAGTTATGAAATCTCAAAGCCAGAAATAAACAGAATAAGAACCTGAAGAACTCCATCTATGATAGACTTCAATCTTTTGGTTACAATGTTTTCAGTATGTCCAAAGTCTAGAGGAAACAAGTGATGCTGTCCAAACACTGAACACGACTGTAGTGACAGTGGCATCTTACAAGTGTCATTCATTTAGTTCTACCTCATCTGCTATGTATTCTTTTACTGATTTTTACTGAAGCCTTCAAGTTGGCTTCTCATTTCCAACATATGGTTTAATAAACCATTCAAATTTTCCTATTTGAATAGTATCATGCCTAAAGTGTTACATACCACCACACATCACAACTCAAAAATAATTCTATCCATTTATTAATAAACTAGATGTGTTACTGTGGTTGTTTGAATAAAAATGGCCCCCATAAGAGCACAGTGTTTGACACTATTAGGAGGTATGGTCTTATTAGAATAGATGTGGCCTTGTTGGGGTAGGTGTGGCCTTGTTACAGGTGAGCGTTATGGTTTCAAAAGTTCAAGACAAGCCCAGTGTCTTTCTCTCTTCTCCTTTTGCCTGCCGATTCACATGAAGGATTCTCAGCTCCTTCTCCAGCATAATTTCTGCCTGCATGCCACTATTCTTCCTGCCATGACAATAATGTGTTAAACCAATGAACTGTTAGCTACCCCATTGTTTTCCTTTATAAGAGTTGAAGTGGTCATGGTGACAATTTACAGCAATAGGACCCCTAACTAAGATAAAAATGAAATCATAGGACTTGAATTATCATACTGTAGCAAAATTGTGCAAGACATCATGGGACATAACCTCAATTAAAGATCCACATTAAAAGTTGTGCTTCAAATTCATCTGCTGTAAATTAAGAATTATATTTTACAATGGATTTTTTAAACAAATTAAGTTATATAGTTATCAGAGTATTTCAAAGTTTCCTAAAATAGATGTTAGTACTTCTCCCAAAATACTTTTGCAGTGCCATTTTTGGATGCTAATGCATATTTGTTAATACTTCACTATTTAATTCATCTGGACATTTCCCCATATTAGTCTTTTTAGATTCTGTGATTCAGAGACATTGCTGTGCACACAAACCACCTGGAGAAAATTTTAAAAAACAAATGTTGATTCTTACATCAGGACTAGGTGAAGAAATCCCACCTTTCAAACTAATTCATAGCACGTTCCAGACCAGCACATTCTGCATCAAATGGGAACTCACTAAATATGTACAGACACAGAACTCTTTCTAGATTCACCATCCCTCCTTGGGGTGCTGCTAAACAGTTCTATCGAGTCCCCAAAGGTAGTCATATACAGTGTAACATTTCAAATGTGCATTGGAGACATTGGTCCTTTTAAATTTATGTGGTGAGCAATTAAACTTTCAGTGTTCAGTTTATTCCCGAGATGAATTATTTCAGAAGCTTTTTAGCGGTAAGGAGAACTTTGTAAAAGACCTCACATACAATTCTAGTGTCATGTCAGTTCTCTTACAAAACACTGGATTATTCTTGCCTTTCTCTAAAGTTACCCTGGCTCAGCACTTGATATTAAAGTGGTAATTTGGCTTCTTTTCTTATTTGTGTCTCTATTTCATTCCTTATGTCAATGAAATTGCCCTGAGTTTTTTGATATTTAAGAAGATGATGGATATGTTTGTCATATATAGCCTTTATCACAAAGGCAAGTTGTTTTTGTGTCAAAGGCCTCTTCTGTATGCTTTGAGATGATTACGTGATTTGTATACCGAAGTCCAATTATATGATTTAATTTGTTTACTTATGTTGAATCATAACTGCTTCTCTAGAATAAAGCTGGCTTGATGTTGGTGAGATTTACAAAATATTCGTCACATACAATAGTGAGAAAAAGCATCCTAGAATTGATATAGTATTAGAAAAGATCTGGTACAGTCAAAGCAATCCTGAGCAAAAGTAACAATGGTCCAGGGATTATCAATCTAAATTTAAAGCTATATCATAGAGCCATAGTTATATAAATGGCACAGCAATGGCAGAAAATAAAACAAAACTATCTATAGTTCAATAGAACAAAACAGAAGACCAAAATGTCACTAAATGTAACTAAAACCATCTGGTCTTTGACAAAGATCCTGAAAACATACAGAGGAGAAAAGATAGCATCTTTAACAAATGGTGGTTAAAAAAAAAAAACTGTATCTCCACATATAGAAGAATGAAATTAAACCCATATCTATCACCTTGTACAAAAGCCAAAAATGGAATCTGTTAGAAAAAAAAAACATAGGCTATACCCCACCAAATAAGATTAGGACAGGACTTTCTGAATAGGACTCAATATGCTCAGGAATTAGAACAATGAATGTCAAGTGATAGTTCACAAAACTAAAATGTTTTTACATATCAAAGGGAAAAATAAATTAACTGAAGAGGGAGTTAAAAAAAAGTAATAAAGTGTCTTTGTCAGCTACTCATCTGACAAAGGATTAATATCTAGAAACTCAAAGAGCAAAGAATCAAGAAAACAACCGAAGTAAAATTAAAAAAAAGTCTATGAATCTGAACAATGGTTTACAAAGGAAAGAAACAAAACGATTTAAAAAATCTAAAAAGGTATTGAACATCATTAGCAATTAGGGGAATGCAAATTAAAACTAAATTTAGATTTCATCATAACCCTGCCAGGATTGCTAAGTTCAAGAAAACCATGACAGCAAATGCTGCAAATTATATTGGAAAGGGCAAGACTTGTTCATTATTCGTGGGAAAACAAACTGATAGAGCAATTATTGAAATCAGCTTTGAAATTATCAGAGTGCTAAAAATAAATTACCCTTTAATCCAACTACACCACTCCTTAGTTTATGTCTAAAGGATTCAACATCCTATTCCACATACACCTGCCCAGCCATGTTCAGTGCTGTTTTATTCACAATAATCGGGAAACAGGAATATTTTAAATTTCTCTCAACTATTTAACAGATAATAAAAATACGGTATATCTACATTGTGTAATTCTTTTTGTCTGTAATCAAGAAAGTAAAATCATGGAATTTGAGGGAAATGCATGCAAATAACAGGAAAATAATAAACTCAGTAAGGTAACCCACACCCAGAAAGACAAACACTGCATGTTATCACTTCTCTGTGGATTCTAGCTCAGACTATTTAGATATGACTTTATAATCTCGAATAACCACAGAAACTAGGGAAGTAAAGGGAGCAAGGGGTGGGAGGAGAACACATTTTAGAAAGAGGAATAATAGGACACATTGCTATGAATTGGGAAATGGGATAACCAGGAACATGGGATTCAAGTGGGAATAGGTTAGAGGGTAGTAAAGAGGGAGAGGATGGAAAGGGGAAAATAACCCTAATGATGTATACGGAGAAGAAATATAATTTTATGTTTACTTTAAAGTACATATGTATTATATATAATGCATATACATATATCTGTATGACGATGAATAAAATTACCCCATTTTCAGTGATATTACTTGGGGTAATAATTCCCCCCAAAAGAACAAAGAGTATCTAACAAAACCTCTGTACTGGGTACAAGAAACCTCTCTTTGAGGTATAGATCAAAGGAGTCCAAAATACTTTCAAACTAATACACGATATTGTCATTGCCCTGGTTCCTTTCAAGAACTTGAAGATAAGACCCTACTGTTGAAGACAAAACACAGTATATAGTATAATATATATGACAGGTAAGTTGAACCCATGAAATTTCAAAAATATGCTTGCCTAAACAAGATTTGCACTATGATAAAACCAGTTGACATGGCAACATGGTCAGCAGAAATGTCAGTAAATTCTACCCCTGGACAAAGGCCTACAGGTAATTGATGGCTGCTGAGAAAGGGAGTATCTACATTCAGGGACAAGTTGACGGACAGGATATCAAATGTGTGTATAAGTTGTATATCTGTCAGTGTGTATGTATTTGAGATAGAAGGTGATGGAAATAAATAGAAGATTAAATACATGCAACAATAGAGTAGGAAAGAAATAAGATTAATATCTTATTTTATACTTTGGGATACACACTCAAGTCTGTGTATAACATAAATCTCAATACCATACCACTGATGGCCCTCATGCTTTATTCTGGGCTCTTTTGTACTACAATCCAACAAGTCAAACCACCAAAGCTATCAATAAAAGAATCTGGTTGTACTTGCATACTTCATGTCTACTTGTAAACATCACTTTTCTACTAACATAAGAAAAAATAACACTATAAATGCAAATAATTCATTATTTTGCTATTTTTCATGAAAGCAAATTTAAACTGAAACATTAAATCTTTTAAGTTTGAAACCATTGTATTTTATGTCATTCCTTAATCACTTTACAAAAGTATAGAATAGAAAACTAATATCCTTCATTGACAAGTACCAAAGCATCCACATTTACATATCTTACCAGTTATCTTTGTCATCACAAAAGAGAAGATTGGCAAAAAATGAAACCGGTTTAGATGAACTGAAACTAAGATGACATGGTAGCTCCTTATTATGTCCGGTATCAGAGGCTGTGATTATTCTTCCTTTGGGAAATGTCACCGTAAGTGGGTGAATCTCATCATCATCAAGAAGTTTTGCTGTGGGAATCTTGAACTGTAGAGCTGAATTTCTGTTTAAAATAAAAAATTAAAATATATTCTTCTCAAAATATAAGCAATTGATCTAAAGGGAATGTGTATTTATGTTTTCCAAATATGCAAATATATACAATTGAATATTTAATATTTAAACATATATTTGTATCATCTCTTCCTGTTTGTCCTTTTGTTCTGTAAAGATTAAGTGAGGCAAAATATTTGACTAAAGGCAATGTTTTCAATAATAGCCATTACATAAAATTATTTCTGTCAAACATATCCAAATAAAAATTTATCTAAAATGATCATTTAAGATTTATAGTTAATGTATATCCATTAATAAATGTTGCTAGATTATATGCATGAAGAAATTTCAAATTTTGGATACTAATAAGCACCTCCAGATAAATTCCACAAAAAATTAATCAGTTTTTTTAACATTAAAAATGTTAAATGTTAAAAAATTTTAAAAAATGGTAAATGTTTATTTTTTTAAAACTTCTAAACACATTCAGTATGATAAATGTTATTTTATATATAAAATTTACTTAACCAATCAAAAACGCCAATAAATTTTGGAAAATTCCACTTCATTTATTTAGACACGTGAAAACATAAAGCAAATAGGCATTATTAAAGCATAATCTATTTTAATCAGTTTGAACATCACTAAGCTACCAAAACAAGAAAGATGATTTACATTTAAATTAATTATATCTATATGATATACTAGATAAAATATGGGAAATTATTTCCTAAGTCCAGTAGAAAGCAATTTAGTTCTATTTGACAGTCATTGAATGTGTCATTTATGCTGCTGATTTCACTATATGTATATAGCAAGGATACTAAGTGTCATCAACTCTTCAAATCCTTTCACAGAATAATCATGTCATAATTGTTTTTATACTGATGTATCACACATTAATTAGAGAATTGAAAGGTAAAAAGCTTAATTCTTACATTAAGACAGTTTTCTAAGAGGAATATTTGTAGCAAACTCAATTCCAATCTACTTTATCTAAAACTTAATAGAAGTTAGTGTCCCTTATAAAATATATCTTGGCAAAACTGAAAATTGCACAGGTATGTTGAATCTTGAAGTTCTAAGGTCTGCTCAAGCTGTGTAGCACTTAGTGAAAGCCCTGTGGCATTGTCCTTTATAATTTCCTCATTGAACATAGGAATTAAATATTGCATTGCCTTCCTCAATTTGGATATTTCACCAACAGTGTTATTATATCATTTTGGTAGGATAATACATATATACAGTCTTGTTAGACATAATAATTTCAATATTTTGTTTCTGATATTCCAGATCCCACTGTCTTACAAGCTGAAGTTCATATATAACCATAATACTCATATCCAAATAAATAGCAAGTTTATTTATGCCTTAACCTGTCACAAGAAGCTTATGTAATTTCAAGATTTTTCTAAACTAAAAGACATTACTATGAATAATGTTGAGCACAGCTTATAGTACACATATAAGATTGTATTTCTAAGCTAAGTTACTGAGACAGTCAAGACCCACCCTCAGGACAAAAGTGAAGAAGTACTACTAGAGAATTAGCCTATATAATCTGTTAGACATTGAAAGATACGATGAATATTTATTTCCATCCTCCATTTTCTCACTCTCCCAAACAACATTACTGGACTCAAACAACAGGTATACTGGAGGCTGTAGAGATGAATCAACAGTTAAGAGCACTAGCTACTCTTGCAGAATAGCAGAGCTAATTTCTCAAGACCCATATCAGGCTTACAACCACATGCAATGCCTGTTCCAGGTCATCCAACACACTATCCGGGCTTCTGAAGGCACCTACATATGTATGTACATGCAAATATGTATGACAAATATATGTTATGTATACACATATATGTCTATGTGTGTGTATGTACAGCCACACACACACACATGCCCATAAAATAAATTTAAAATTTGGGTATACTATTATTAGTCATATAGTTATCATGTTAATTTGTGAGAATACATTAAATGAAAAATGGGATGTTGGAGATCATGAAAAGCCACAACAAAAAGAAAACCCTGGCCAATTAAACTTGTTTTTAAAGGTATAGTGTATATTTTCTGGCCAATACTTCTTCCAAGCGATCACTTAGCAGCTATAGCTACTCCAAGATACTGCAGCCAGTTTTTATGTCAACTTCACACAAGCTAGGGACATCTCGAAAAAAGGAATACTAATCTAGAAAATGCCACCAACGATTGTACTGTAGGCATCTTCTTAACTGCTGACTGATATTGGAGGGTCCACCTAAGTTTACGTGGTGCCCCCAGAGAGCAGGTGGTCCTGAGTGGTATAAGAAATAAGGATGAGAGAGGGCCCCTGTCCAATCATAAGCCATGCATGCCAGAAGACAAGATTGTTGCCTAGCCAAATCACCACAGGAGAGGCTTCCTCCAGCAGTTGATGGGAGCAGATGCAGAGACCCATACCCAAATATTAGATGGAGCTCTGTGGATCCTGTAGAAGAGGAGGGAGGGTTATAAGAGCAAGAGCCAGAGGGGTCTAGGACACAACCAGAGGGGTCGAGAACACTAGGAGAACATGGCCCATAGAGTCAACTAAGCTGGGCTCATAGGGGCTTACAAAGACTGATGCGACAAACACTGTCCTTAAATGGATCTGAACTAGGTTCTCCGCATTTGCCGTATGGTTGTAGAGTTTGGTAATCTTGTGGGACTCCCGCCAGTGTGTTTGACTTTTTTCCCTGGCCTTTTGGCCCTTTTCCTCCTACTGGGATGCCTTAGCCAACTTTGATATGAGGGTTTGTGCCTAGTCTTATGGTATCTTTTTATACCATGTTTGGTTGTTATCCCTGGGAAGCCTGCCCTTTAATGAAGGGAAGCAGAGGAGTAGATGGGGGAGGGGGGCAGAGGGAGGGGCTGGGAGAAGTAGAGGGAGAGGAGACTAAGGCCAGGATGTATTGTATGAAAGAAGAATTTAAAAAAAAAAAAGAAGAAGAAGACTGAGCAAGCCATAAGAAGAAAGCCAATAGCAGTATTCCTCCACCACCTGTTCATTGGTTCCTGCTTCCGGGTTCGTGACATTCCACTCTGACTTCCCTGTATGATGGATTGCAAGCTAAAAGATGAAGCTAACTCCTTCCACCAAGCTGATTTTGGTAATAATGTTATTACCTAACTAAGAGAAATATTTATAAAGGAGGGAGACATATTTTCCAGTCCTCAATGACTTCATACAAAACAAACATCTTCCAAAGCCTTACAGTTAATGAAAGTATGCACTTCCAGATGTATTCAAATTTAAACAAATAATATCTTACTCTGATATAAGTATATATGTGTGTGTATATATATATGTATATATGAATGACAAGGAATACAATAAAACAAATAAATTTAAATATATAAAGAAAGATTTACTCGCTCTTTCTAGTAATCAAACGTAATCTGGTTCATTTATTAAAAACACTAGACTATGCTAAACATTATTCCCCTACAAGTAAAACAAAACTATTTGAAGTAATGTTTAAAAATCCAACATTACAGTACCTATTTTAAATACTCTTTCAGTGATTGACATAAGTAGATGAAAACAGGATACAGAGTTCTCATTTCCATTAGGTGGGCATTTTAAATGGTACTAACATTGTGGGATGCAATGGGCACACATGCCTATCACTCACCTGCCTCACTCCTGATACAGTTAGTTACTGGTGGAAATTTGTGCATATTACTATATAATGTATAGAAGAATGTTGATAGCTCATTGTACTCTACAGCCAATACAAGAAGCACTATGGATAAAAACGATGGCTGGGCATCTGGTGCCCACTTTTGACTTCAGTACTGTGACTCCTGATTAAGCTAGTCTCTGAGTTCAGGACCAACTGGGGCCACACAGTGAGTTCCAGGCCAACAGAGAATGCTTACCCTGTAGCTATGACTAGCTTAGAACTTACTAGGTAGACAAGGCTAGAGTTGACTGTTTTGTTTGCGATATCAAATGAATGTTTTAAGTAACAAAATTTGTGTTAATTTCTTTTACATTGAAATTTTAAGCTTATTTTTTATAATACAAAGACATGTTTTTTTAAAAAATTCAAGAAAATAAATTACTATTTTGTATTTCTTAAAATTTTGTATTTCTTAAAATATCAGTGTATAATGAAATGCTTTAATAGCTCTTCCAAACTATAGCAAGAAATCAGGCATAGGATTAAAATTTCAGATAACATAGATTAAAAACAAAATTGTACATAAAGATACAGAAAATTCATACTAAGGACTTACCTGAAATAGTTCTGTGGCAAAATTCTGATATCCACCCCAGCTGTGGTATCCAAAGGAACAGGAGTAAAACATATAAATGGTGGATCAAAGATTATCTTTGGTGATTGTATCTCTCCAATCAGACTTAATGTTCTATAGTCAAATAAATTATCATTTAAACGTATAGCAACTTCAGCTAGGTAGGTTACGGGCTTTTCTATGGGAAAAAGGGTACTACATATTAGTTTACATTCAAAGGAGTATTTAATATAAGTTTTACTATCAAAATTTACTATGATATTAAATCTCAGTGGAGCAGGGTAGTTAACCAAGGAAAAATGCAGCCTGATGAAGAATTAAAGAGTAAGTGGAGTATTGTTGTAGAAAGAAATTATAAAAACCAACATGTCTTCAAGTATACTTTGCCTATAGAAGAAGTAGATCTTTTTAATGTATACTATATGGGTGGTAGAAATAATTGTACATTGGGAAGAAATGCTTACTACATGGGGGAATACATAATACTTAAATAATACACAGAAGTAGTACAACAGGACTTCTTTTTTCAGCTGCTTCCAATGCTTTAATAGAAGCTGCTAATACCTATGGTATACAGAGCATGAAGATGACGTCACAAACTGCTGAAGGATCTTAAGGGACTACTAAGAAAGGGGTTTGTGGAGTGAAACTCTCCCAGCTTTGAAGACTAAGAAAGGTTGGCAAGAGACTTGAACCTAGAGTGGCTCCCAGGAGCCCAAGGCGATGTCCCCAGTTAGTCCCTTGGGAAGCTGAGGATAGGGAACCTGAAATGATCCTATCCTATAGCAATATTGATGAATATCTTGCATATCACCATAGAACCTTCATCTGGCGATGGATGGAGATAGAGACAGTGACCCACACTGGAGCACTGGACTGAGCTCCCAAGGTCCCAATGAGGAGCAGATGGAGGGAGAACACGAGCAAGGAAGTCAGGACCACGGGGGGTGCACCCACCCACTGAGACAGTGGGGCTGATCTATTGGGAGCTCACCAAGGCCAGCTGGACTGTGACTGAAAAAGCATGGGATAAAACCAGACTCTCTGATCATGGCGAACAATGAGGGCTGATGAGAAGCCAAGGTCAATGGCACTGGGTTTTGATCCTACTTCATGTTCCTGCTTGGTGGGAGCCTAGCCAGGTTGGATGTTCACCTTCCTAGACATGGACGGAGGGGGGAGGACCTTGGACTTTCCACAGGGCAGGGAACCATGACTGCTCTTCGGATTGGAGAGGGAGGGGGAGAGGAGTGGGAGGAGGGGAAAAAGAGTGGGGGAGGGGGAGAAAGTGGGGGGTGGGGGTGGGAAATGGGAGGCTGGGAGGCGGCGGAAACTTTTTTTTCTTATTCTCAATAAAAAAAAAGTTGAAAAAAAAAAGTTTCCCTATAAATTTGGCGAGCACGCTCCCAGCGCTTGCTTCTGCTTTCCTGGTTTCTGTAAGTCTATTCCTCCATTAAAGCTGTCTATATTTTGGAAAAAAAAAAAAAAAAAGAAAGAAAGAAAGGCTGCCAGGGCCACTGGAAAGGTGACTCAGCAGTAAGGACCAACAGTTCCCAGCCCCTATAAGGCGGCACCTAACCATCTGTACCTCAAGTTCCAGAGGATCCAGAACATGTTTCTGGCATCAGCAGAACCGGTGTATATACAGGGAATATTATACACACATATATGCAGGCAAAAAAACTAATACACATAAAATTTAATTTTTTTAAAAAAAAATAGAAAAATGCTTACTTGGACAGAAATGTATGGAAATAGTATACTTTTCATTTGGTTTCAGACTTCCAATTAATGCAGTAAATTTGAATATGCCATTTTTGAAGAGTTTGTCATTTTTACGGATATCCAAAGACCACTGAACAGTTTTTTTTGAAATATTAAGTATCACAAGATCCTGTTCAAAGATATATATACAAAAGAAGAAATTCTTAAAATTTAATGAATGCACTACAAAATTTTATTTTTAGAAATAAGATCTAACTATTTACTCATGCAAAAGCCAACATAAACAGAATCTTTAATAAATGTATTCATGATTTACAGTAAAATAAGAAAATTTATGTTGGTTCATACTAAAATAGAGAGAATACACTTTCGTACAGAAAAAAGAAACCTAAACTATGTATGTAAATGTGTTCTTTAAATTCCCTAATCCTTTGAAGCTGATCGCATCACTACCAAAGCAGAGACTAAGAAACTGGAGAATTGTAGAAAAACCCAGAGATGCAATGAATCACTGTGATGTCACAAATGCTCTTCATGTGATGTCAAATGTCACCGCTGTAACATTTCCCCACTAGACCCATAGAAAAGAAATGTGACTTTCCTCTAAATGCTGAAGTAGGCAATGCTAGGAACTTCCCCCTAAAATTTCAGAAAGGATCATAGCTCCTGCAGATGTCGTATTCATAACTAATAACTGGTGGTTCAGACTCTTAGTTCACTGGTCACATATATCAAAACAATTGAAAGAAAGTTCAATAGTGTAAAATAACCTCCCATTTCAGAAAGGCATTTTGAAATCTCGAATACATTTCAAGTTACTAAGGTTATTTTTTTCAGTTCCATACATGAGATTTAAATACACATGGGGTTTATTAAAAGAAATTTTACTACCTTTTTATGCTCAGTGTCTAAAAAATCTATTTTAATTTCAGTAGAAATATTTTATTAATCTACAACTCTTAATTTCATGCATTCTATTTTAATCAATGCAATGTTAAATATTTTCCCTATATTCTTTACCAACAGTAATAAAGGTATTCAACAAAACTGATTATAGAAATGACAATACACTAGAAAAAAAAAAGGGCAGGGGAGATACAATTTCCTAAGAGATACATACATGTCTATACATGTCTTTGATTTTTCATCTACATATAATTTTAATTGGAAAATAAAATGATGCACAATAAGAAAAACATAGTAGACTAATGTATGTTATTTTATTATATAACTTCATGTTTTCACTATAGACTGTTTCTTTCATATATATGAAATATGTTATTTTGTGATTAATATATTATATTAAAAACTTTCAAATAATCAATCAAGTCACTAAGTGAAAACCAAAAAAAAATTACAAAATAATTATAAATTATAATGTGTATTAATTTTCTATATACCTGAATTGTTGTGATTTCCTTACTGTGTTGAAGCTCATATAATGGGACTTTGAATACAAATTCCGTGCTGGATAATTCCAACGGTGCTCGTAAAACTTTAAAAGAAAAGTAAATATACTGATAAAATATTAATATACAGAATATGGACACTACTTAATATATTTTTCCAAAATAAAATAGCAAAAATATTTTTTTTGTTTCATACTCCTAGTCAAAAAGTAACATTTAATTTCCAACATTTCTATGATACCCTGACTTCCATATTTACAAATTTTCATTTTATAAAATTAATTGGCAATGGATTACATGTAAAACAAACAATACTGATGAAATGGTAAGAAATCATAAAATAAACTCAATATTGAAATAAGAAAGAGCACAGAGTATTAATATGATCTCTAAACCAATGATTCAGAAATGGAGATACATAGTATCAGAAGTTGTAAAAATCTCTCATGCTCATTGTTAAGAAAAAACAGCAGCCTACAGAATGGGAAAATATCTTCACCATTTGACAGAGGCTTGATCTCCAATATATATAAAGAACTCAAGAAACTAGACATCAAAATACCAAATAATCCAATTAAAAATAGTGTACAGATCTAACAGAGAATTCTCAATAGAAGAATCTCAAATGGCTTAGAGGCACTTAAATTATTGTTCTATATCCTTAGGCATCAGGACTCTGATTCTTCTCAGAATGGCTAAGATCAAAAACACTAATGCGAGCTTATGCTGCAGACGATAGGGAGGAAAAAGGGAAAACTCCACTGCAGGTGGCAGTACAAACTTGTACAGCCACTATGGAAATAAATATGGTGGTTTCTCAGAAAACTGGGAATCAGTATACCTCAAGACACAGGTATACAACTCTTGGGCACATACTCAAAGAACGCTCAATCATTCCACAAGAACACTTGCTAAACTATGCTCATAAAAACATTATTCATAATAGCCAGAACGTGGAAAAAACTTAGGTGACTCTCAGCCAAAGAATGGATAAAGAAAATGTGGCACATGTACACAATAAAGCATTACTCAGATGTTAAAAACAATGATATCCATTAATTTGAAGTCAACTAGATGGAACTAGAAAAAAATTATCCCAAGTAAGGTAACCCAGACCCAGAAAGACAAACACGGTGTGTATTCAATTCCTAAGTGGATATTAGCTGTAAAGTAAAGGCCAACCATGCTACAATCCACAGTCCCAGAGAGTCTAGGTAAAAAGGAGGGCTCAAATGACGACAGGCAGGCATACATTTCAGATGAGATCTCCAAGGTAAACTTGGGGGGGGGGGGTTGGCTGGGATGGGACATGAAGGATTGCGTTAGGTGCTTGGGTGAAGTGAACAGAGGGAGAAAATAGTGAAAGAGACATCTTGATTGGGGGTACATTTTAGGGTCAGTTAGAAACTTGGTGCAAGGGAAACTCCCATGAATTTACAAGAATGATTCCAGCTAAGACTCCTAGAAATAGTGGATACATAGCCTGAACTGGCCATCTCCTTTAATCAGATGGTTAACTACCCCACTTGTCATCAGAGAACCTTCATCCAGTGATTAGTGAAAGCAGATGCAGAGATATACAGGCAACCACTTGGCTGAGCTTGAGGAATCTTGCTGAAGAGAAGGAAGGATTGTAGGAGCAGAATGGGGGGGGGGAGATCATCACAACAACACCCACAGAAACAACGAATCTGGGCTCATACAAGCTTACAGACTGGACTGACAGTTAGGGAGCCTGCATGGGACCAACCTAGGCCCTCCACGCATGTATGACAGATGTGTAACCTGATCTACTTGTTGGACTCCTAGTGGTGGAAACAGGGCTTGTCCCTAAGGCTTTGGCAGTTGTCTTGCCCAGCTTTAATACAAGTGGAGGAGTTAAATCCTACCTTAACTTGATATGCAATGCTCTGTTGACACCCATGTAAGCCTGCCCCTTTCTGAACATAAAGAGAGGAGTGGGGGTGAGGAGGCAGAGATTTGAGGAATGGGAGGAGAGGAGGAAGGGGGGAAACTGTGGTAGGGATGCAAAATAAGTTAATAAATTCAATTCATTAAAACAAAGAAATTGACTGATTTTCTTTTCTAATATTCCAAATTTTGAAAACTAAAAATGATACTCTGATTTTTCTTTACGCTTAGATGTTAAGTATAAATCTTTGACCTGCACACATCAGTTGACTTTCATATTACATACCAGTAGCTTGAACAAAACAAGGTGGAATAATTGGTGATACACTTGGAATCAAAACCTTTTTCTGTGACAAATACTCGCAGTAGAGATCCGAAGCCTTAAAGGAATTAATATGGACAGGAAAGCTAAAGTCATACGTTGCTACCTGTCAAAAAATGACCAAAAGATATTTGTAACTTTGTGGGCTTTGATAGTGTTTATTCACCAAAATTACCTTTTGCAAAATAAAATTATCTTGTGATATTGAAAATACATTCATTTAATAAAGTAAAGGACATATTATTCACTATGTTGAAAATAAGTCTTTAAGATCATGAACCAAATTGTTTTTAAAATGCTTTTTATTATAAATGAACCAAATATCCAACTTTAAAAGCTAAAATATTTGGAAAAATAAAGATAAGTCTTTGTGATCCTTGGATAGTCAAGGATTTCTTAAATACTATACTAAATATATCATTCCTAGAAGTGAAAATTATTTATCTGTATCAAAAAAGTCTAAAACAGCTATTCTGCTACAAATTATTTTAGCCACATAAAATGACTCAAAACACAATTCTCACCAAAATTCTAACGTATAAAAATTAAACAAATAAGATCCTAATATCAATTATAAAATGGTCTAGATAATGAAAATATAGATGGAACTGTGGAAAGGACATTTCCAAAAGATATGTACACAGTGACACATTAGCACAAGCAAAGATGTATTACATCAACTGTCAGGGAATTGCACATTGATATCACAGGATGCGGTTCAGTGAGATGGCTCAGAGTATAATGATGCTTGCTGACAAGCCTGATGACCTGAGTCCAATCCCCAGGACCCACATAGTGGCAGTAGAGAACTGACTCCTACAACTTGTTATCTGACATTCACGAATGAAACCCACTACAAATAAATAAATATAAATTTAAAAAGGGTGGAAATTACAGGAGGTTCCCTTTCTCACCTACACAACTGCTTAAACAAAAGTAACAATACTAAATGGTACTAAAGATGTTTGCACACTCACAATATACAGACTCACAACCCACTGTCCAATGTTCCCTTAATAAGTTTCTAGAGGTGAACAGTAGAAAGAAATCAAGAAAAATGTTTATTTTAAACTTGATGTAAAAAAAAAAAGCCCCCAAGATCATAGCTAGTTCTATACTGTACTAAGAGTTCATGGTAACGCTTGGTTTTAAATAAAATAAACACTAATCTCAGATAAAGGGCATCCTTTCAGACCTGGAGATTCACATTCTTCTAGTTATGCAAAACACTGGGTTTACATTTTATTTTATTTAATTGTATCTGACCCTTATCACTGTCAGTTCTATATCCTGCTATGGAAGCTTATATCCCATCTGTTCTCATTACAGAATGTGGAAGCATAAAAAACAGAAGCATGTCTTATTTTAATGGCTGTTTCAAAACACTCATTTCCATGATAATCTATTTCTGCAATACTACCTGAAAATAGACATCAAGGAGTAAACTGACTAAAGATATACAGATATAATTTGCTTTCATATTCTACACATAAAGAAAAAATACAACAGAAAATGTGTTTCATCTTATTTCTTTGGAGACTTCTTATCTAGACTTCAGAGACTAGTTACATTTTCTTTTTTGTCTTTTTCATCTTCTGACTGATCTGCCATTATCCATTTGCAAATTAAAACAAATCAACATTCTATACTATATACCAAAACATGAGTGACAGTCAACCCTTTGCATCCATGAAACATGGCTCTAAACATAAGTTATAATCTCCCCATTCCCAAATGTGAACTGCAAAATGAGAGGATGCACATTCAAACCCCATATACAAATAACTTGTATTCGACTTGCACAAATTAGTCATATACATTTTGATAGTTTTTAACGTTTATAGAAGAGGTGCTTTGATTGCATATATGAATATATACCATATGTATGTCTAGTGTCCAAGGAGTCAGAAGAAAGCATTTGAATTCCTGGAACTAGAATGATGGATGGCTGTGAGTCAGCATATGGGTGCTTCAAATTGAACCTGGATCTTCTGCAAGAGCAAAGGATCTCTTAATCACTGTCTCGGGGTTAGTAGAGACATCATGACCATAGCAACTCCAGTAAAGAAAAGTCTTTAACATGGGCTGGCTTACAGTTTCATAGATTTACACCTCCATTATCATCATGATGAGACACATGGCAGCAAGGAGGTAATTGTGGTGCTGGAGAATTCTACACTTCAATCAGCAGGCAACACAAAGAAAGAGTGACACTGGGTAGGTGCAGCTTGAACATATATAAGACCTCAAAGCTCATCCCCACAGTGACACACTTTCTCCACCAAGACCATACATCCTAATAGTGCAACACATTATGAGTCTTTGGGGACTGTTTTCATTCAGAACACCAGAACCACTCAGATATCTCTACAGTCTTCAATATTTTTATATATTCATTTTTGTAGTGTGTAGATATGTGAGGTTTGTGCATGCCACCATGCTTATGTGGAAGTCCCAGGACAAATTGAGAGACTTGGTTTTCTTCTTCCACCATGTAACCTCTAAGAATTCAATTCAGGTCATCAAACTGGTAGCAAACACCCTTACACTGAACCACCTTGCCACCTCTTTTAATTCTAGACTAGTTAAGAAATAAAAAGATGATCATAACAACAGAAACCAAGTAAATACATAGACAAAAATAAAGATATACTTAAAAACCTATACTCCGCCCAATTAAAAATTAAAAAAAAAAAACTCGGTAATTTTCTCCATAAGTATCACTTTCCAAAATTAAGCAATTTAAAAAGAACTACAAACCTTAGAGAAATACAAGCAGTCTTTCAAAGTCCCCCCCCAAAAAAAAATAACAAGCACAGATATGGCTTTAGAACAGAGTTTTATCGGACTTCAAAGAAGAATTAATACCAATACTTCTCAAATTATTCCACAAAATAGAAACAGAAGGAACACTGCCCAATTCATTTTATAAGGCCACAGTTTCTCTGATACCCAAACAATATAGAGGCCCACCAAAGAGAACTGCAGAACAATTTCGCTTATAAACATAGATGCAAAAATATTCAATAAAATACTTGGAAACCAAATCCAAGGATGCATTAAAAAGATTATCCACCATAATCAGATAGGCTTCATCCCAGAAATGCTGGAATGGTTCAATATATGAAAAATCAATAAACATAATTTACCACATGAACAAACTGAAATAAAAAAGCATATGAACATCTCATTAAATTCATAACCGGATTTTGACAACACCCTATTCTCCTTCATGACAAAAGTCCTGGAGAAATTAGGTACATAAGAATCATACCTAAAAAGAATAAAGGTACTTTGCCACAAGCTATAGCCAACATCAGAGTAAATGGAGGGAAACTCAAAGCAATTTCACTAAAATCAAGAACAAGACAAGGCTGTCAACACTCTCAGTACAATTCAGTATTTTAAAGTTTAGCTAGTGGTGCAGAATTGTCTGTATTCTTTCAATCATGTTTTAAATAAACTTTGATTGGCCAGGCAGGAAGTATAGGCGGGAAAACCAGACAGGAAGTAGAGGTGATGCAATGAGAACAGGAGAATTCTAGGAAGGAGGAAATTGATTCCTCCCAGTCCTGTGCAAACCAGAGAGGAAGCAGAATGTGATCTGCCAGCTGAAAAAGGTGCCTAGACATAAATCCGCACACACATGAACACCTGTGTATTCAGAAAGAAGCTAGAAATACACACTGGATAAAAGTCAGCATTGTTAACAAATGATGCTGGTCAAACTGGATATTGCCATGTAGAAGAACACAACTAGATACATATTTGTTTCCCTGCCCCAAACAAAAGTCCAAAAGTATCAAACACCTCAACATAAAACCAGATATATTGAACTTAACAGAAGAGAAAATAAGGAACAGCCTTGAGTGTATTGGCACAGGAGAAGACTTAGTTTTTAAAAAAAAAACACTGATAGTGCAGGCAGTAATATCAACAATTACAAAAGGGACCTTACGAAACTGAAAAGCTTCTCTAAGGTGAAGGATACTAACATATGGACAAAGCAGCAGCCTGCAAAAGGGGAAATGATTTTTACTAACTACATCTGAGAGAGAACCAATATACAAAATATATAAAGAGCTCAAAAACTAGACATCAAAAAATAAAATAATCCAATTAAAAATGGGGTACAGATCTAAACAGAAAATTCTCAATAAAAGGATTGCAAAAGTCTAAGAAACACAAAGAAATGTTCAAAATCCTTAGTCATCAATGAAATACAAATCTTTGAGATTCCATCTTACATCTGCCAAATAGCTAAGTGACAGATCATGCTTGCAAAGATGAACAAGGGGAGCAGTCTTGCACTGCGGCTGAAAAGGAAAACATAGCTACTACAGAAATCAATATAGCTATTTCTCATATTGAACTCTGGGTTGAATGAGTCATCTTCCTCCTTAAATTATTTATACTTCTTTATTTTATGTGTATGAATGTTTATTCTGCATGTATGCACGTGTATCACCTGTGTGTTGGGTGTCTCTAGAAGCCAGAAAGGTGTGCTGGATGCCCTAGTACTTGAATTAAAGATGTTTAGGAGCCATCATGTGTGTGCTGAGAATAACTGAACTGGTTTCTTCAGCAAAAGCAACAAGTACTATAAACTCCTGAGCAGATCATCTCTCTAGTCTCCATGAGTGATCTCCCTTAACTAATATTAGGAAGTAGGAAGTTTGAAAATATCATAAAGAAACTGTTTTATAAGTGTATTTAAAAATACATATGTGTGTATGTATGAGTATACAAATGAAAACATTAACATCACACATGTGGCGGGGGGGAGCTACAACACTTCTCCTAAGAACCATATACTAAAAGAAAATTTAATTCAAGGTAAGGAGAAACTCGTCTCAAGCTGTTGGTTAGGGGCTATCCAAGACACTCCCAAAATAACATAAGTGATTGTTACTCCCCTTGGTTCCTTCCCATAACTTAAAGGTAAGAAGCTATTGCTGAAGACAGAGCACACTTGACCCAGAACCTGAAGGATTGGAGCTGGAACTGAGCTGGACGTCTCCTCCCTGAGGACTACCTCTTATAATAGGAAAAGATGTTATAAAAGCTGCTAAGGGAGAAAAGTCCCATACAGAGGTAAAGTCTACTAAACCACAACGAAGACTAGACCAGATTGATTCCCAATGATGCAAGAGAGGCACTATTTTCAAAGGGGTAATAAACAGCTGTCCAAATGGACTTAAGGTAGGTTTAACAGGAGGGAATTCCTGCCTGGTATTGCAAATTACACAAGTACCCATGGCAAGAAAGGTCATAAGATCTAAAAGCAAACCTACAAGTGCTGTTTCCTAAGCCAATATAATGTATAACTATATTTAAAATATTTATCCTTATACCCAAAGATGAGCATAATGATGTTTACCCCTCATCAAAGAAGCTTTTTGCATCAGATATAGGCAACTAAAATGAGGCACAGCATGTAGACATTCAGAGAATAAGTGACAATGGGGTGCCCATTCTCACAATTGGTACATCTACAAGACCACCACAATACCTAAGGCTCAGGGAATACGGATGTTAGGAAGATTTTAAGGGTCAGCGAACTTGTATGGCTGTTAAATAGTGTTTCTAGACATAAGGCAAATAGCATTCATGATATCTAAACAATGTATCTGCCTAAACGTGACCCACATAATGACAACACCAGCAGACATGTCAAGGTAGATGGCGGAGGTGGGGGGGTGGGGGCAATTAGTATTGCATTCACTTAGTAAATCATTTTCTGTACTTACTGGTACAAGTAATTTGACTATATTGCTTCTTGTTTATTTGTTTTATTTTGTTTTACTTTTGATGTATAAATATTAAACTATGATTGACAAAAAGAAGCTCCCAGGGGCTGGAGAGATGACACAGCAGTTAAGAGCATATTGATTGCTACTCCAGAGGTCCTGGGTTCAATTCCCAGCACCCATATAGTAGCTAACAACTGTCTGTAACTCCAAGATCTGACATTCACACACAAACATAAGTGGAGGCAAAACACCAAAGCAAATAAGAATAAATTCTTTTAGATAAAAATTCTCCTTAGCATTTATATTTCAGAAATTTGAAAAAAACATACTACAACTTATTAAATCTAGCCAGAGATACCCATTTTTTACAGTCACACTCTAATAAAGGTTCTTTCTTTTGTATTGAAGGTTTTTCCAGTTTAAAAATATCATTGGGCATCAAGGGAACAATATTAACTAAGCATCACATAGAAACGACACCTTTTAATTGCTCATACCATTTGGGGGGATTTCAGATAATGATTCCAAGAATCCCCTTCACAACCAATTATAAAACACAAGGTAGCTTGAATATAAGTGGTTTTCTCATTAGTTGAACCCTATCATCTCTTTACCACATACCATACTTCAAATTTTGTAGTAAGTATAGCAAAGACAATCTAATCATAGTTCACCATGAACTAGATATAGCTACTGAGTACTTAATTTAAAGTTATAGCTATGTATAGTCACATATTAGAATAATACCAATTCAAAGCAAAACTTAGGTGATAGCCAATCGATTCCTAAAATAGCAAATCTGTAACCCCACTTGTATTCCGTAACATGAGTAACAGAAAACTGAACTTACTTCTACAGGAGAAAATGTTATGCCACATTCCACAGATGTGCCTTCCTCTACCTCTATGCCATACATATAAGGAGCATCAGTATTTTTGGACTCTCCTATAAAAGAATAAAACAATATAAGCCTATCTACGTATATGCATGCGTGTGTGTGATATAGTGATATTATTTAATGTGAACCCTGAAGATGTCATCATTATAGTCATAGCAATCAAAAGGCAACTACTGAAATACCAAAGGGTAAAGCTGGATAAAATTTCTCAGTAAACAATGATTCTTCATTCCAACTTTATAACACCAAACCTCGGATCAAAATATGCAACATAGAATCAGAAAGTAAGTAATAAAAATATTATCATAAAATTCTTCCAAAGTTGAAAAAATATAGTAATAGTCTCATGAAGGTGGAAAGGAATTAAGAGCAAGGTCAAAAGAACTGACTTAGTCATTGGTCTCAGAATAAAAAAGAACTATGCAATGAAGGGGAAGCAAAGACAAACCAGGTCTTATTTGATCAACTGAAAAATCAAAAATTTACAAGACTATCAATTAATTGAAATGTCCAACATTTATTTCTGAGGAAACACTTGAAATTTCATTTCAGAAACATACATATGTACATATGTACATTAGATGCATTAGTATTAACTATTGCTACCCTACTATTGTAGAGTCTCAAAGAATATTAGTCATTCAAAAACAAAATAAAAAAGGAAACAATTTCACCAAAAAAAAATCTTGTCAAAATGGGACTATTTCAAGAATAAAGGTATGAGCAAATGCCTCGGGAGCAGGCCCAAGGCAGTGACTTCTGAGGGACCAGGCCGGGACCAGGCCAGAACCAGGACCTCCACAGTACCAGGCACTAGGCAGGTATATCCACAGAAGCAGGCCCAAGCCAGTGACCTCTCTGGGTGCTAGCCTGGGCCAGCAACCTAAGCAGGACCAGGCCCTAGCCAGCGATCTCCATGTGAGCAGCCCAGAGACAGCAACCTCCACAGGACCAGGACTGAGGCAGTGACCTTCTTAAAAGTAAGCCAAGCAAGTGACCTCTGTGAGAGCAGGCCTGAATGACCACTGGAATTGCAGAGCGACCTCCAGGGTGACAGGAACTGTGGTCTCCGACTCCACAACAAGGAGTAACCATCTGACCCTTGGATCCAGTGCCATTTGGAAGACTGATCACCAGAGACATGATCCCACCTATACCAATCAGAGGAAAAGATGGGTGGAAAACAAGATATTCCATAACAGAGCCAGATTTAACAAAAACCTAGCCACAAACCCAGCCCTACACAAAGTCTAGAAGGAAAACCACAATGCCAGGAAGTCAGCTACATCCACAAAAACACAGACAATACATAATCTCACAGCTGCAAATCCCAAAGAAGGAAACACACACACACATTACCAACAAAGAAAACTAAAACAACAGGAACTAGCAGCTACTATCAATACCCCGTAATATAATATTAATATCCCTTAATATAAATGAGTTCAACTCACCTATAAAAAGAAACAGGCTAACAGACTGGATATAAAAACAGAATCCCTCCTTTTGTTGCATACAAGAAACACACCTCAACCTCAAAGACAGATATCACATAAGAGTAAAATATTTTCTAATAAAAGATATCATCTTACACCTGTCAAAATGGCTAAAATCAAAAACACCAATGATACCCTTTGCTGGAGAGGCTGTGGAGGAAGGGGTACCTTCATCCATTGCTGGTGGGAATGCAATCTTGTGCAACCACTTTGGAAATCAGTGTGGCGATTTCTCAGGAAATTCGGGATCAACCTACCCCAGGATCCAGCAATACCACTCTTGGGAAAATACCCAAGAGATGCTCCATCATATTACAAAAGCATTTGTTCAACTATGTTCATAGCAGCATTATTTGTAATAGCCAGAACCTGGAAACAACCTAGATGTCCTTCAATGGAAAAATGGATAAAGAAAGTGTGGAATATATACACATTAGAGTACTACTCAGTGGTAAAAAAACAATGACATCTCGAATTTTGTATGCAAATGGATGGAAATAGAAAACACTATCCTGAGTGAGGTAACCCAGACCCAAAAAGAGGATCATGGGATGTACTCACTCATAATTGGTTTCTAGCCATAAATAAAGGACATTAAGTCTATAATTTGTGATCCTAAAGAAGCTAAATAAGAAGGTGAACCCAAAGAAAAACATATAGTTATTCTCCTGGCTATGGGAAGTAGACAAACTTGCTGGGGAGAAAATTGGGATCTTGGGGGTGGGGTGGGTT